ATTAATTCTACTAGATTTCCTCCTTTCAAATTAGTATAATCAATATGTTTTGGTTTATAATCTATTTTCATAACAATAGGTTGAATTTCGAAATATTCTAAAAATTATAATTATATAAATATGTCATTAATTAACCATAATATTTTATAAATTTTTCTAAATTAACTAATTATTGAAATAAAAATAAAAACATACGAAAATATGTATCATCTTCAACTTGATTTATATTTATTGTGTTGTCTTTGTATGAAAAAAATCCAATTGAAAAATTAAGAGCATCTTGATCTATATAAAATCTAAGTGGCAACAATTGTAACTATATAAAAAAGGATCAGAAAAAATTTTCAATATTTTTTTTAAAGAAATTTTCTATTCAAATCTTAATCTTGACAATGTCTCAAACACAAACCTTTATTCGAAATTCCTCTGCAGGTTCTGAAGGTATTGAACGAATACTATTTAATTCAAATCTTATCATGTTTGATTTGCTTTCTCTAGGTTTTGTATCTTTGTCTGGATGCATTTGTGTTAAGAATTTATGCCATGCTGAAGTTTTAATATTATCAATAATCTCAATATCTTGAACAAGTAACAACAATCGAAAAGCTATTACATCATTAGCAGGAAAAATATCAAATTCCAAATTTATTTTGTCAAGCTTTATATCGAGTTTACTTTTTCTTGAGCTATTAATTCTTTGTTTGTTTGTTTGGCTAGAAGACATTTTATTAGTTACACCACCAACAGCAGCAGAAGAAGAATTTGTAATTGATTCTGGTCGTTTATTTGAATAATAATTAATGTTGTTAATGTTGTTGGTTTCACTTATTGAAGGACCTATTCCCCCTTTTGATATGCTTTCTGTAGTTTCTATGGGATTTGTTGGTGCCTTCTCGAGATTAAAGTCTAGAATTTGATCTTTTGTGTGCTTCCAATCATATCCATCATATAATTTCCATATAACATTAAAATCGTTTAATTTTATTCTTGTTAAAGATTTTGGAAATCTATAAAATTAGGAGGAAAAAGGCATGAATATTAAACAAATAAATAATAATTTAAATAGATTAATAAAATCATTACTCTTGATTGATATTTTCAAGTTCATTTGCAGTTGGCACAGAGAAATGGTCATCTTCAAAATTTAAACATTCATTATCAGAATCTAAATGTTTATTATCAGAATCTGAACTAATATCATCATCAAATGTAATATCAGGCTTGATATTTTTTTTTTTATCCGGCTTGGAAGAAACTAGAAATACATATAAATATATATAAATTTCAAGAAATAATTATTGATAGTAAAATAAAATAAATGTTAGTTATTACTACCTTCATTAGCATCATCCATTATGATTTTCTCATAGTCTTCTTTATCATCTTCTTCTGTGCCATAAAATTTTTCATCAAACTCCAAATTAGAATTTGATATTTCAGGATTTGATGAATTTATCTCCAGGGGGGTAAAGACATCCTCTTCAATAATTTTTTTAAGTGCTAAATAATTAAAAGCAAATTAATATTATAGAAATAGAAATATAAGACATTTATGTTTAAATAATTACCATCAAGATTTATATCTTTTCGATGAAATCTTTCTTTTCGATTAAGTGGAACTCTGATAATTTGTCATTTTTTAAAAATAAAATAATCATAAATCACAAATATATAAAGCGAATAAATATATTGATGGATGTTTTCTTTTTACATACTTTGTTTCAGATGTACCATTCTTTGATGTAATGTTAGTCATTAAAGCAATTAAAGTTTGAAATGCATCTGCACATGTCTCTATTATAAGATTTTCATTTGTAAGTTCAAGCTATAGTTTTATTGAAGTTAGATGTTTATAAATATTTAATCAATCGATAATTAATGATAATTAAAATTAATTAATTACCTCAAAGTGTGGATATATTTCACCTTTATTTGTTCGAAGTAATATTTCAGCAAAATCTAAAGAGGCTGTTTTAACAAATCCTAATGACTTTATTTTTGTGCAAAAAATTTTAATTTATTAATTTATTGATTTGTGTAAGTGAAAGGACCATATATAACCTTAGAATTATTTGCTCACCTTCCAATATTTTTTAACGCTCACAGATTCAGCAGAAAATCTATTATAAGGTTTATTATTGTTGAGCGATTTAACATCATCAATAAGCATTAAATCCATTCTTTGAACAATAAATTTGCAAGAAAACATAGGCGAATCAGGATTAATATTACTACACAACTAATAATATTATAATTAATGTTTGTGTGATATTTTTAATTTGAGATTTAAAAAATGTTTTCTAATCCTCTGAATTTTTTTTACCTTAACACAATCAATTGCGAAGACTACCCTTGCTGGAAATTTTTCAGGCTGATAGATAATAGAACAATCTCTGACAATAACAGATAGTTTAGTGAATTGACTGGGAATTTCAATAGAAGTTAACTGAAAAATAAAATAAAATAAATTTTATCATTATTTAATTAATAAACACATAATATAATGTAATACAATGCAAATACCATTTCTGGTTCCTGTAAAAATTCTATTAGATCTCCAGTCCATTTAGGATCCTAGATAGATAAATAAATTATTTTTTACTCACTGAACTTTCAATAATTCTTTGTTTGAACATCAAAATCTCCTCTTCTTCATTTTCAGTTGGCCAAGTTGCTCTATCCTCACCTTCAAAAGATGTAAATGTTTGTGAAAAGGGTGATCGAATTCCACTTGAGATAAATGTCAATCTACTAGTAATTTCACTAGTTGGACGATAAGATATTTCTACATTTAAAAGTGTTTTTGCTGATTGATTATGATTAAGTGGTTGTATAGATGGATTCACATTAAGAAAGCATCTAGCTTCTTTTTCTATCATTGTTCAAAAAAAGATTTATAAAAATTAAATTAATTTAAAACTAATTAAATTGGTCGATCAATTAATTAATTAATTAATTAAGAATACCATCATATTTTTTCAAAAAAACTTTTATTCC